CCTGTAATTTTCCTCTGTGACTTTTATCCTGTATGAACTGCTGTGTTATTTAGCGCATAGATATTCATAACTCTTTTATGTATAATTTCATTGTGAATTGTAACCTTGAATGTTAGAAGGTATATGTTTGATTTGAAATTTGAAATTTGAAATTTGCTTTTTGTTTGAAATGTACCTTAAATATCTAGATAGTTGCCCCTTTTTTTTTGCTTTCATGTATTGGTCTGCATTTGCCCATCTCTTTTATTTTATCTTTTGAATCGTTTTACTTTAGGCTTTTATATACAGCTAAGCTTCAGCTTTGTTTTATGAGCCAATTGGAAACTCATTTTCAAATAGGTATAATGCAGTCATTTGGAGGTTCTCTCTCATTTTTGTCAGATAACTTTATGATACACTTACTGTGAATTGGATTATAGTTACTCTGTATCTTTGTGCGATCTGTTTCACTGCTATTTTTGTTGGCTTTTTAATTTTCTTTATTTTTTGGCATTTAGAAAGGATTATATTTTTGTTCTAGATATTATTTTTTATCAATAATTTTATACTATTCCTTAATTCCCTTTTACCTTACTTCAGTTTCTACTATTCAGTTTGTCAATTTTTAATTGTATCATTAGACTTTCACCTTTCCCTATGAAAAATTCCAAATTCTTATTCTAGTTTCTCTTTTCTATCTCCTTTTTCCACCCACTTTTAGTGGTGTTATTTCTAATTTGTCAGAGCATGTAAGATCTGTACACTATTCTTCCAGCTATCTTTATTCTGTTTTTGGTCTTACTATACAAATAAATATATTCAGTTCTTAAAAATTTTGCTCATTTTCCTAAAAATCTATTGATTTAATGAAAGTTATTTTTAGTGGATTCCATATGAAAGGCTTGTAGGTATAATTTCTCCATAAGTTTCCTATATTTGTGCATGTTAGATCAGTTTTATTGTAGTCTTAATAATTGAAGGACATTCGGCTGAGTATAAAACAATTGTCTCATAATGTTCCTTGGGGTTCTTAAAAATGGTGCTCCACTGTTGTCTTGCTCTAACATATAGATAACTTAAGGTTACAGTAGACTTTAAAGTTATATGTTTTATGTCAATTTTATCTCAATGAAGTTTGGAGAAAAAACAAAACAGAAATTCAGGTTGGTATCAGACTTTTCAACATCACCACACAGAGCAAGACAACAGAAGTGTACTATGTTTGATTTGATACACATATTGCAATATGATTACCACTTTACTGTTATCTAACAACTACATCAGATCATATAATTACCATTTCTATTTTATGGTGAGAACATTTAAAATCTTAGCAATTTTCAAGTTCTTAGTATGGTATCATTATATGGTATCTATATTTTATATGTATTATATGAAATATGGAATGATATATAATCCATCATTTATACACCCACAAACACACATACACACATACAATCTCTTTATCCATTTATCTATTGACAGGCACTTAGATTGTTTCCATATATTGGAAATAATGCTGCAAAAACACAGAAGTGCAGATGTCTCTTTGATGACCTGTTTTTAGTTTCCTTTGGATATATACCCAGAAGTGGGATTGCTGGATCATAAGGTAGTTTTCTTTTTAATTTTTTGAGTAAACTCCAGACTGTTTTTCGTAGTGGCTATGCTAATTTATATTCCCAATAGGGCACAAGGACTCCTTTTTTTCCCCACATCCTTACCAACACTTGTTATTTGCTTTTTGATGATAGCCATTCTAACATGTATGAGGTGACATCTCATTTTGTTTGGCATTTCACTGAGGATTAATGATGTTGAGCATCTTTTCATCTACCTCTTGGCCATTTGTATGTCTATTACTCAGTTCCTCTGCTCATTTTTAATCAGATTGCTTGTTTTCTGCATGAGTCTTTATGTATTTTTTATATTAACCCCCTATCAAATATATGGTTTGCAAATATTTTGTCCCATTCTGTAGGTTGGCTTTTCATTTTGTTGATGCTTTCCTTTGCTGAACAGAATCTTTTTAGTTTGATGTAGCCCCATTTACTTATCTCTGCTTTGTTGCTTGTACTTTTGGTGTCATATCCAAAAAAATCATTATCAACACCCGTGACGAGCTTTTCCCCACGTTTTCTACTCAAAGTTTTACATTTTCAGATCTTACATTTAAATCTTTGATCCATTTCAAGTTATTTTTTGTGAATTGTATAAAACAGAGGTCCAATTTCATTTTTCTACATGTGTTTATCTAGTTTCCCCAACATTTGTTGGAGAGACTTTCCTTTCCCCATTAAGTATTCTTGGCTCTCTTACCAAATATTATGTGACTACATATGCAGGGTTTTATTTCTGGGCTCTTTTCTGTTCTTTCCTATATGTCTATTTTTTTCTGCCAGTATCATATTGTTGTGATTGTTATAGCTTTGTAGTATAGGTTGAAATCTGTCGGAATTTTGATAGGGATTGCACTGAATCTACAGATAGCTTTGGGTAGTATGGACATTTTAACTATATTCATTCTTCTGATCCATAAACAAAGAATATCTTCACATTTGTTTGCATCTTCTTCAGTTTCCCTCATCAGAATTGAAGTTTTAGTATAGAAATCTTTTACCTCCATGGTTAAATTCATTCCTAAGTATTTTAGAGTTTTGATGCTATTCTGAATGAGACTATTTCTTTTCAGATAGTTCATTGCTTGGAAGTACAACTGATTTTTGTATGTTGATATTATATCCTGCAGCTTTACTGAATTTGTTGATTAGTTTTAACAGTTCTTTGGTTGAGCCTGTAGGATTTTTTTCTCTATAAGATCATGTCATCTAGAAATACACACACTTTTACTTCTTCTCTTGATTTGGATGCCTTTTATTTGTTTATGTTGCCTGATTGGTCCAGGTAGGACTTCCAGTACTATGTTGAATAGGACTGGTGACAGTGGGCACTCTTGACTTGTTCCTGATCTTCAAAGAAAAGGTTTTAGCCTTTCACTGTTAAGTATGGTGTTAGCCCTAGGCTTGTCATATACTGCTAAGGTAGTAGCAAGAAGGGTAGTGACCAAAAGGGTCAGATTTTACATAAATTTGGAAGATTAAGCTCACAGGTCTTACTGGTAGACTTCGGTTTGAGGTGTACAAGAAAGGAAGAAAAAAAAAAAAAGAGGGAAGGATAATTCCAAGCTACTTTGGCTGTGCCTGTAGGAGAATGAAGTTGCCATTTACTGAGCTAGGGAAGTATGAATAGAGCAGGTGTAAGTTCAGAAACGGGTAGTTTGGTTTTGTTGTTGTTAGGTTTAAACATCCACATGTACATGCCAGTTAAGCAGTTGGATATAAGATCCTGAGATTTGGGGGAAAGGTCAGGAATGGAGATGGAAATTTGATAGTTTTCTTGGCTGAACAATGGAAGTGAGATGAGTGTTATTTATTATCTCACTTAATAAATCCCTGAAGTAGGATAATACTGTTTCTATTTTTTTCAATATTTGGACCCAAAACTCATTTTGGAAAATACTCCTTAAGGGAAAAGCTCATTCCTTTTGGTTTTGTATCTCCATCTTCTAAATAGAACCAATTTCTATTAAACATATCTTGAAATAATAAATACATAGAAAAACTTTGAGTCTACTGACTTAGTAACATCAGTAAATTTTTTTAAAGATTTTATTTATTTATTTGACAGAGAGAGACAAAGCAAGAGAAGGAACACGAGCAGGGGGAAGGGGAGAAGGAGAAGCAGGCTTCCTGCCAAGCAGGGAGCCCAATGGATGCAGGGCTTGATCCCAGGACCCTGGGATCATGACCTGAGCCCAAGGCAGACTCTTAACGACTGAGCCACCCAGGCACCCCAACATCAGTAATTTTTTTAAAACTGAAAAAATTCTCCAATATTTAGGTGACATGAGAGATGCAAAGATGCATCAATAGCAGATCCTAACTTTAAGATATTTGTATCATCCCACCATTCATATGACATGAATTTCATTCCATGGTTGTATGATGGGATGAATAACTTATTAATCAGGCAGAAATGGACAATATTCTTTTAGCACATATACAGAGGTTTGTGTTTCTCCTTATTCTTTCAGTCATGGATAAGAGATTCAACTTAATGGACCCTAGGATATTTTATTAACGATTAAACACAACAAAATGATTGAAGTAATATATTGTATTGTAGTATAGGTTGAAATCTGTCGGAATTTTGTCAAAGGAATATGCATTCACAGAAGCTTATGTAGCCCAAGACTCTCCCACTTTGTAATCACTTTCAAGTTACCTCTCTCTTACCCCTGCATTCTTTTCACCATCATAACAACCCAAATCCATTAATAAACATAGCATTATGGTTAAGAGAATAAACTGAATCAAACCACTTGGCTTCGAACCCTTAGCCTGATTAAATAGTAATTTGTTCATTTGTGACATGAGGATAGTTATAGTAATTACCTAATGATATTGGTAGGAACACCAGTGAGAAAATACTCATAAAATATACTGTCATATACATGATAATTAGTATATATTATACTAATTATAGTATTGGTATAAATTTTTTCTTTAAAAAATAAAATTTAATTTTACCTACGTGGAAGTTTATTTTCTCTTTTTACCTAGTTCAAATTATTTACTACATTAATAATGCTTTAAGAATATACCATTTAGGGGTTTACACTTCAAACAACTGAGTATTATGTCACAAAGTAATTTATAGGAAGAATATCAGGTACTTCACAAAATCAACAGAAGTCTTTGTGAACCGGTGTGGAAATGGGCATGAATCAAGGAAGGACAGGCTATTGAGAAGTCTGCCAAGATAAGGTCACAGAAAGAGTTTAAGAATGCCATCACTGAACATTTATGAATGGACAATTGCATCTTTATGTCATTTTTCCAGAATTTAAAGTCCTTGAATTTATATATAACATATATCTATATTCTATATCACTGGTTCTCAGATTTGGCTGAACAGTGGAATCACCTGGATGCGGGTTGTGTTAAAAATACTGATGTCTTGTGCTCACGTCAACATTGCATATACTAAAATTGGAATGATACAGGAAAGATTAGCATGGCTCCTGTGCAAGGATGACATGCAAATTCATGAAGTGTTAAAAAAAGAAAACAAACAAAAATACTGATGTCTAGGTCTGATTCTCAGAGCTTCTAATTTTATTGGTATAGAGTACAGCCTGGATAATGGGATTGTTTTAAAGCTCCCTAGGTGATTCTAACATGCAGCAAAATTTTATATTTACTGGTTCAAGTGGTATGGCCCACTTGCTGAAGAAACAGATGAAATTCTCGAAAGACTCCTACATATATTATATGTTAGTTAATTGGTTAATTATTTTTCACAAATAATTCATGTTTTTAGAAAGTTTTAAAATAAAATAAGTATCTTGTGAAAGTTACCCATAATCTCCTATCCAAAGATAATTTCTATAAATATTTTCATTTATCTTTTCAGATGGTTCACTTTGTATATGAGATGTGTGTGTGTGTAATTTCATATGTTCTTATGTCCTTTGGTTCATAGTTGTTGAAGTTTCATGGCTGCTCTCTCTCCAGAAGATAATTTTTCTTTGTTGAATTGTGCCTGCCAAAGAGAAGGCCTCCAAAGGTTAAGGATTAATTCAACTAGTGAACTGTGAATATTGGTAAATTGACATTTCAAAGGGCAATGACATTCTATGATGCTCTAAACTCACTATCTCAGTGAATTAATATTTGAGTGTTTGAAAATATCAATTTCCCTTATGCAAAGCCACATAAGAATTAACTGATTTTCTTCATTTGACTCTTCCCTAGTCTTTACCTTTACTTTAGACATCCTTTGCCTACATGAATTTTCCTCTTCCTTAACAAATGAAAAATGAAAAGTCATTTGAAAACTGGTGCTTATTGGATTTGTTTAATGAACTCTTTTCTAAACTTAAAAAAGCAGATATATACTTTATAATTTATAACTTCATAAATTATAATTTAAAGTACTTCATAATTTATTTAAAAATAATTTAAGTTCTATAATTTTTATTTATTTTTATTT